TTTTGGGGGGGGGGGGGAATCCTCCTTCTGACATGACAAGGTTGAGGGGAAGATAGAAATATGCATGAGAACAGAAAAGAAAGGAGAACAGAAATATGTTTCAAAGAGTATAAAAAGCAACTCTATATCCAAAATCATACTGTGAAATGTAAGTAAATTATTTGTCAACCTTAATGAAAGATACTGGCATACTGTAAATTATCCATGTTCTTTTGAAGGAAATTACCAACAAATCTTATTAAAAATCTCTAAGAACTACTGATTTAAAATTCGGGATTGTGCAGATGGGGTGTTGATGGTAGAAAGAGGTATTTCTCATAAGAATATTCTTTCTGTTTCATAAATTGATGTCTGACAGAGTTCAATATTAGATTCTATTAAGTATGACAGTAATATCACATCATTTGTTTTCATTGTCTCATTATAGATTGCTGCAGGATTCTTTAACATCAACTGCTTTGGGAAATTGTATGCTAAAAAATGTTGAGAGAATTTCATTTTCATTTGACTGATAATTGTTTTCTATATTCAGTTCCACCAGTAATTCGAGTCTATCCAGAAAGCCAGGCCAGGGAACCAGGTGTGACAGCTAGTCTCCGATGCTATGCTGAAGGTATCCCCAGTCCACAACTTGGTTGGCTGAAGAATGGAATTGACATTACTCCAAAGTTATCCAAACAGTTAACTCTTCAAGGTAAAGGAACATATTGCTTTCTAATGGCAGCAAAATGGATTGTTTTTAAATAGCATTACAGTCTTTACAGTGCATTCTCACCTTGCATATTTTCAATATCCGGTTAGGGTTAATTTATAAGTTAAGGTACAAGCACGAAGTAGAGGGTGAGAAGTAGAACTCCCTCACCTTAAAAGAAGTGAAACCGTGCCTTAGAGACATTCTGAGGCACAAATCCCTGCCTACTTTCTTTCTTCTTGAATAGCAGCGGGAGACGTAAAAGCTTCAGCCTCTATTACCAGTAAATGTTAATGTTTCCAGCCATCCGTATCACTACACTATGGCTTATCCTTGCTGATCAGTATATTATGGAAGCTCAGCTCAGCCATCACCTCTTTTTCTGCCAGTGTGGTTAAGGAGAGAAAGTAATCTCAATAAGTCAGTCAAGCTTTTAGATGTTAGTATAATTAGGCGTTAGGGCTATGCAAAGCTTCAGTAGTGGATTCAATTCGGAGGAGATTCAGCCTGATTTGGGGACCAAATCTCTGAATCGGAGTAGAATCAGGAAACCGAGTAAAAGCTCTGAATTGATTTGGAAAAGATTTGGCCAATTTAGGGATTCAGCCATAGACTAAACAGGCAGATGACAGCTGCTTACAGCTGGTAAATCTGTTGGGGTTGCGGGGGGAGGAAAGGGGTGTGGGGGAAGGAAGCATCAGGGCTGGGGTTGGAACAAGCTGCCCAAGTGGAGCGGGGAGATACGTTACTTGGGGAGCGGGGGGAGGGGTGTGGGATTGGGTGCGGCATTGCCTTGAGTGGG